CGTATAAGGGTTCGGATATAATATACCACTTTCAGCAGTTTTACGATGCGGCGACCGGTCGCAGGTGGAACTTTCGCAATGCTCGGGAAAAGTTTAATTTTCGTCACTCCTCGTGCAGGAACATAATCGAACGTGCGTTTGGCGTGTGGAAAAGTCATTGGAAAATACTCGATCGGATGCCAAGTTATAATTGTTAAGTGCAAACCGCTGTTGTAATTGCAACTATGGGAGTTCACAACATCCTTCGACGAGCGGGTGTGGTGGATGAAGCATTTACTAGAGCGGAAACGGACCACGAGGTAGCGGAGGTGGACCTCCCAGACGAAAGGGAAGAAGTTGCAGCCGAAATGCATGCACCGGAAACCCAACGAAATGAGTTGCATATGTTCCGAGATTATTTGGCACATCAAGTTTGAATGTATTATGTAGAACGTAATTTTATTGTCTCCCACGTTATGAAGTAATTTTTAAAAAAGTAGCAATATTGCACGCATCGTGTGAAAATTAATGCAAACTGAACAATAACACGAAGAAACCAATTTTTCAGGTCGGTTTCATATTTCATGGTAAGATAAACAAGACTATTTGCACGTTAATTTACCAAAAATAACAAACAAGGACAAAAAATGGTGACTATGATAGTGAGACCCACGTTGGCTTTTAAGAGCATGGAAAAGTCAAATGGGCTGTAGTAATTCCTTCACAATTTGGAACGTTGCTTTGGAGGGCATGGATGGAAATTTGGCCCAATTTTTGTCCTTGCACAACCTTTTTCCTGTACATGATTTTGACAGCAAAATCAATTCTTCAAAATCTTCATCCCTCCCAGACGGGCTCTAAAATCCATAACTTACAGTTTCTTTTGTTTTGTTCAGTTCAACAGGGCACCGTAAAAAATCAGCGAGGGGACATTTTGTTTGACAATTGCTTTAGACATCATTGAAGGGTTTTACCTCGTATCAGATTTAAAGAATACTGGTTTGTCTAATAATGCCTCCATAATGTGAACAGTTCAGAATCGTTCAATAGTCTTGCTATTAGTAGAGTTTATTTTCTTTATTTAAATTAATTGAGTTTTAAGCAAACTCTATGCTATCTTATTGTCCGTTCATTTAGCATATTTGGGATCTCTATTTTGGTGGTTCTTATCAGTTTCTTAATGTAGTTGTTCAGAAATTATATCGAATTCATTGATAAACAGGAGTGTACTAATAAATCTCATTTCTGAAACAGTAACATGTTTACTATATTATACTGTTGGATATGTGGCTTCCATTGCAATTCCACACTGACCTTCCTTCGCATTAATATCTTTCTGGAGCCTCATATATCCGTCCTCGCCCCAAGTGGTGCCCCATGAGTTCTTGATTATCCAGTACTTCAACTTACCCTTTTCAGTACCATAACCAACTAATGTAACGCCATGGTCCAAGGTGGTTCCACATTGGCCAGTGAAGATACCACTCGAGTAAAACTGGAAGTCTGCCCCTTTAGCATCGACAGTGACAGCAACTGGTTGCTTAGAAGCGGCCTTCATAAGTGCCTCCTCACTGTTAACAGGTACATTTTCATAGCCATTTATCTTGACAACAGGTTCTGCCTCCTTCTTTGGGTCACAGGTACTAACGTTCCCTTTATTAGGATAGATACTTTCTGTGGTAAGACCATGCTGTTTGATGAACTCGAAAGCTTCAGATGTAAAACCTCCAGTACAACCATCTTTCCCTTCATTGTTGCAGTCTACTATTTCTTGGACTGATAATGTGTATAACTTACCACGTTTGATCTTTGTAATGCCTTCCACAGTATCAACAGCGGGAAATGTCCATGCTCCTAATTTTCACTCAATTTTTTTTTTCAGTTTTCCAAACTTCAATGTAAACGAAGAAAGTGACTCGAGATGAAAGTGCTTACCGCATATTGCATCCCGGATGGAAGTCACAGCTCCCTTCTTTCTCCAGTCGATGCTAGGTGGAACATCACTGAAATTTTCATACTCAAAAGAAGTAGCGGCTGATGATTTTGTGTTGAAGAGATTCCTATAAAAAATGTGAGCTTTCTTGAACTCCTCGTTTGTTTGATCTGTGAATTGGTTGATACTTAGCTTGTATGGTTTGTCTTCAGCATTATTTACGTCTATGTACTCAACATTAGCTTTGAAGATTCTGTAGCGCTTCTCTTTTTCTACGTTGTCCTTGTACTCACGCCCATAACGTGCCATCCACTTCTCGTGCCTCCCCATCATGGATGTTTCAGGGATTATACGAGACATGGATTGAGGAACCAATGCGCTGATACTGATAACCAAAATAGTGAAGAAACAATATTTCAAGCATGTTGCTGCCATTACTGTATGGAATATGTTGTGTCAAGATCTTATATATGAGGAAGCACTTTTATAAAGTAAACATGGAGAATATTAAATACGCATTCAGGGATTAATAGGACGCGTTGCAGATGTGAATTGTCTCTTTCACAGATGAGCATACACAAGTATGCAACTTAGCTTTTGGGGCAAATTGCTGTCATTGTCTAATTTACCAAATATTTAGGTTATCTAGCTTATCCAATCATATGCCTCTTGCATAGAATCTAGTGATTTTTTTATTTAAAATTCGTTAAGTTGAAGATTAAATTAATAAATATGTCGATTCTATAATAGCTTCTTCTAGATGAAGTAACTCAACATGGTACGAGAACTAGCACAAGGTCTGAATTCAAATGTAGTCGTCACCCATTTATGAAATTTGTGCAACCTTTAACGGAAAAGTGAATCTGTTGTTGTACGTGAGAGGACGTGTTGAAGATAAGACTTAAATAAATAAATGTATTCTATAACCCTAAGAGCTTAGAAGAGCGATTCAACCTTCAAATTATAAAAATTTCCCAGTTGATACTGAACTCCATGCAAGATTCACAAGTTTTGACATAGTATATCTAAGGAAAATCCTACAAGGCTTGTAAGTTAAGCAAGCAAGAATCTTTTTTTGAACAGGTTCACTAATATCCAAAATAGTAAACAATTAACTCATCAGGATATTAGAAAGAACAAGAATTCCATTTAAATAATAGAATCTAATGGAGCAGTGTCCACGGAGTTAGGCTATGATTTCCTTGTCATCCATAACTTTCCGGGATATCAAGACTTTGAAATGTAGGCACAAGGTGATATTTTGAAGAAGAAGGACCTCCATGAATTCTATAAATACATGTCTCTCGATAGATGCACAACAACATTTCTTTAGATCATCAAGTTCAAATAATTAACACCCTCCTTCTCGAAAGAATGGCTTCGACTTCCAGTTGGAAGCTTATTTTTGTTGCAATGCTAGTGTTGGAGATGTGGGCATCTCAAGCCACAGCTCGTTCATTGCAAGATGCATCCATGGTTGAAAAACACAAGCAGTGGATGGCACAATATGGACGTGTATATGAGGATAATGCAGAGAATGAAATGCGATACAAAATATTCAAGGAGAATGTAGTGTACATCGAGACTTTTAACAAAGCAGGGACTCGGTCTTACAAGCTTGGCATCAATCAATTTGCCGATTTGACGAACAAGGAGTTCCAGGCATCTCGTAATGGGTATAAAATGTCAACTTACCAAAAGTCACCTAAGGAGTCGTCATTTAGGTATGAAAATGTGACTGCAGTTCCATCCAGCATGGACTGGAGAAAAAAGGGAGCTGTTACTGGTGTTAAGGACCAAGGTCAATGTGGTAGGTTAATCAACGATTCGTTAACTCAATTCTTTGTTATATATTTTTTGCTTCTAGCATCAAAATTGATGTTTTATCTTACTATTTGTACAAATATTATAGGATGCTGCTGGGCATTCTCAGCTGTTGCAGCCACAGAAGGAATCAACCAACTTTCAACAGGGAAATTGATTTCACTATCCGAACAAGAACTTGTAGATTGTGACACGAGTCAGGATATGGGCTGTAACGGAGGTCTAATGGATAATGCGTTCGAATTCATCATCAACAATCATGGACTTACAACTGAATCTAATTATCCATACGCTGGAACAGATGGCACATGCAACAGCAAGAAGGAATCCTCCCATGCTGCCAAGATTACAGGATATGAGGATGTCCCAGCCAATAGTGAGTCAGCATTGCTTAAATCTGTGGCTAAGCAACCAGTATCTGTTGCCATTGATGCTAGTGGATCTGACTTCCAATTCTATTCGAGTGGTGTCTTCACTGGAGAATGCGGGACTGATCTAGACCATGGCGTTACAGCAGTTGGTTATGGAACAGCTAGTGACGGTACCAAGTATTGGTTAGTTAAGAATTCATGGGGAACAAGCTGGGGTGAGAACGGATACATTAGAATGCAGAGGGGCATTGATGCTGGGGAAGGCCTCTGTGGTATTGCCATGCAAGCTTCTTATCCGATTGCTTAAAACATCAATACATCTTCTCACATAATAGTCATATTTCAATCAAGATTGTCGTTTCACCTTGTGTATAACTATTGTTAAATTACCTGCTCATACTTTTGTAAATTAAAAATTGTACTGAAATTTATATGAAAATGGAAGGCAATGATTACAAGTGGTTTGCATCAAGTATCTCTGTCATCTAATAATTCCTATGCGTACATAAAAATATAAACTTCATACTAGGGGATTACTTTAGCAATAGACCCTTGTTTATAATTAGCCATAGCATTCAAGCGACTGAAATGGTGAAAGATGTAAATTGGATTCCATTTTCAAATTATCAAACTTCAAGGATGTAGTTATGATCTTTAAACTCAACTGTATTAATAAAAAAAAGCGAAATTCAAAATTTATTCATTATAAAGTTGAATCCAACCAATTACACTCGAACTAATGTATGCACCTTAAAATTGTTCCATCATGCCCCGCCTTGACCCAATGCCACTTAGGCAATGACGGAGATTTCAAGATTTGAGAGGCCACGAAAAAATTAACAGTTCAAAAGTCCAACAAAAATTTTCCCTTATTTTTTTATTTGAATCTTCTGTTCGTTTAAAAATCCACGACGAAATTTTGAGATGGACTAATAAGAAACCCAAAACATTTTGGCACTTACATTCTTAATGAGCACCCAACTGTACATTAATAAATGAAATAAAAATCCCAAGGAGTTTTTATTTCTTTTTTAAAATTTTTATATAATTTTTATTGCGCGCTTAAGCCAAAACCATATTAACCTATTCATCCCTCGAGAGTCGAGAGTAAATAAGAAAGAAAATGTACTTTTTAAAAATCAAATTTGATATGATTCTCCTGTATATTTCAAAAGTAAAATAACTTTGTAAACAAATATTTCTTACTATTTTATTTTAATATTTTAAAAGATAAAAATGCTAAAGAACTCCATATCCAATGAATTCTTCGTCATTCATATTGTTGGGTTTTGATACCCAAATAATCCGGGCTATGATGTTAAATCGGTATTTTAGTTGGAAAATTTTTCATAGGCCTCGGCCGAT